TTATCCATTCTGTTGGCATATAGTGTTTTGTAGTATTCTCTTATAATCTGTTGTATTTCTGCAGAGTCTGTTGTTATTTCTCCTTGCTCATTTCTGATTTTGTTTATTTGAGCTTTCTCCCTTTTTTTCTTTGTAAGTCTGGCTAGTGGTTTGTCAATTTCATTTATCTTCTCAAAAAACCAGCTCTTTGTCTCATTGATCCTTTCTACTGCCTTTTTCGTTTCAATAGTATTTATTTCTGCTCTGATTTTTATTATTTCTCTCCTTCTGCTGACTTTGGGCTTCATTTGTTCTTTTTTCTCTAGTTCAGTTAGGTGTGCTTTAAGGTTGCTTATTTGGGATTTTTCTTGTTTGTTAAGATGTGCCTGTATTGCAATGAATTTTCCTCTTAATACAGCTTTTGCTGTATCCCATATGAGTTGGTATGGCATGTTATCATTTTCATTTGTTTCCAGGTATTTTTTTATTTCTTCTTTAATTTCTTCAATGATCCATTGCTTGTTCAGTAGTGTGTTGTTTAGTCTCCACATCTTTGTGCCTTTCTCAGCTTTTTTCTTGTAATTAATTTCTAGCCTTATAGCACTATGATCTGAGAATATGCTTGTCATAATTTCAATTTTTTTAAATTTGTAGAGGCTTGCCTTGTTTCCCAACATATGGTCTATCCTAGAGAATGTTCCATGTGCACTTGAGAAGAATGTGTATTCAGCTCTTTCAGGGTGGAGTGATCTATATATGTCTATTAAGTCCAATTGTTTTAGTTTTTCATTTAGCTCCACTATTTCCTTGTTGATTTTCTGTCTGGATGATCTGTCCATTGATGTGAGTGGGGTGTTGAGGTCCCCTACTATTATTGTGTTGTTTTTAACATCTTCCTTTAGGTCTGTTAATAGTTGCTTTATGAATCTTGGTGCTCCTGTGTTGGGTGCACAGATATTTATAAGCGTTATTTCTTCTTGATGAAGTGTCCCTTTGATCATTATATGTTGTCCCTCTGTGTCTCTCTTTACCTGTCTTATTTTGAAATCCACTTGGTCTGATATGAGAATTGCAACACCTGCCTTTTTTTCCTTGCTATTTGCTTGAAGTATTGTCCTCCACCCCTTCACCCTGAGTCTGTGTTTGTCCTTGGGGGCTGAGGTGTGTTTCCTGGAGGCAACAAATTGTTGGATTGTGTTCTTTAATCCTTTTTGCCACTCTGTGTCTTTTTATTGGAGAGTTCGATCCGTTCACAGTGAGAGTAATTATTGATGCATGTGGACTTAATGCTGTCAATCTGTCGCTCATTATCTTGTTTGCCTGCGTTCCTTTTCCTGTTTGCTTTAGACTACCCATTTAATACTGCAATTTCTTATGCTGGGTTTCTTAGATTTTTCCTTATTTATGATTTGTGACTCTGTTCTGTACTTTATTTTAGTGTCTACCTTGAAGTTTGTATTTAGAATCTCGTGTATAATATAGTCTATTCTCTGGTGGTCTCTTACCTGCTTTACCAATACTGATTTAGACCCTTTGCTCTTCCCCTCCTAAATAATTATTTTCATTTTTTATTCCAACTCGTCTTATTAATTTGTAGTTAGAGTGCTAAGATCGTCCTTGTTTTGGGAGTTTCCTTACCTTTACCCTAATGCTATAGTTGAATATTTGCTATCCTGTTCTGGTTCTATCCATCGGTCTCCCTAGTCTGTGGATTGTGTCCCCTTTCTCCCTTTTTTCTTTTTTCAGGTATGAGAGCCTTCTTGAGGATTTCTTGTAATGGAGGGCTTTTAGTTACAAATTCCCTTAACTTTTGTTTGTCTGGAAAAGATTTAATTTCTCCCTCATATCTGAAGGAAATTCTTGCTGGATAGAGTATTCTTGGCTGAAGATTTTTATCCTTTAAAGCTTTGAATATATCACTCCATTCTCTCCTAGCTTGTAGGGTTTCTGCAGAGAAATCCGCTGACAGTCTGATAGGGGCTCCTTTATAGGTTATTCTCTTTTTTTTCCTTACTTCCCTGAGTATTCTCTCCTTATCATTCCTATTTGCCAACTTTACTACTATGTGCCTTGCAGTAGGTCTTTTTACATTGACAAATCTAGGAGATCTAAAACCCTCCTCTACACACATTTCTCCGTTGATCCCTAGATTTGGGAAGTTCTCTTCAACAATTTCATTAAGCACACTTTCTGCTCCATTTTCCTTTTCCATAGTCTCAGGAATTCCTATGATCCTTATGTTCTTACTCCTCATTGAATCCATTATCTCTCGGAGATTTTCCTCATTTTTTTAAATTCTTAGTTCTCTTTCTTCCTCTGTCTGGCGCCATTCAGCCTGTCTGTCCTCGATTATGCTGATTTGCTCCTCTAGGTTGTCTACACAGGCATTCAGGGAATCCGTATTCTGTTTTATCTGGTCCATTGTGTTTTTCATCTCAAGTAATTCTGTTTGATTTTTCTTTATGATTTCAATCTCTTTTGTGAAGTAACTCCAGAACTCGGCTTGTTTCTCTATCTTTCTCTCTACCTCATTGAGTTTTTTGATTATAGCTGCTCTGAACTCATTATCACTTAGTTTACCTAATTCCAAGTCCTCAGGACTTAATTCTGTGTTTTTATTGTTTTCCTTCTGGTCTGGGGCTTTTATAAATTGCTAGATGGTAGAGGAGCGGTTTTTTCTCATGGTGGTAGAATTCAGTTGCAGTTACAGCCTGTCGCCACTAGATGGGGGTCGAGAGCGGCGTGTTAGCTCTCCGCCTTGGGGCAAGATGGCTGCGCCCACTGGCTTTGCTGGGGGGGAGGGGCTATTACTCACACGCGCCGGTCTGGGTTCAGATCAGTTCTGTTCTCTGGTCTCCCAAAGCCCTTGATTTATAGGGTCCCCGCGGACGGAAGCTTTCCCCCCCGTCAGCGGGGCTCCACTGAATCAGCGGCAGGAGTCCTGGATGATCCCTGGTCGCGCGGCCCCTCCCCCGCTCCTTCCCGACCCGCGCGGCAGCGATTGCAGACTCTAGGGGAGGGAGCGATGTTCTCCTACCGTTCCAGCGCCTCCGAGGGTGTAAGCAAGGTTTATGATCTCTGCCTTCTTGGTATTGTAGGTCTCTAACGAGCTGGCATTATGTTTATTCTCTGTTGTATTTTGGAGGGGAGAGAATCCCGGGTCAGCTCACCCCGCCATTTTGCTCTGCCTATATTTATTTTTATATTTAATTTCTGGGTGCTATCATAAATAATAATGGTTTGAAAATTTCAATTTCCAATTGTTTATTGCTAATATACAAAAATACAATTGATCATATAATTTATCCTGTAGCCTGTGACCTTGCTGAACTCACTTGTAAGTTTTAGGAATTTTTGTAGGTTCTGTGGGATTTTTCTACATAGACAATAATGTTGTCTGTGAATAGTCACAGTTTTATTTCTTCTTCTCCAGTGTGTTTGCTTTTTATTGTTTTCTTGCTTTATTGACTGGCCAGGGCTTCTGGTACAATGCTGAACAGAAGTGGTCAGACTGCTTAGCTCTGCCTTGTCCCGTCTTCAGGGGAAAGTATTCAGTCCTTCATCAAGTATGTTAGCTGCGGGGTTTTTGTAGATGCTCTTTACCAGGTGAAAGAAATTGTTATATTTCTAGTTTGCTGAGAGTTTTTGGGAATGAACAATGAATTTTGTGTCTTGCTTTTTCTGCATAAAAGGATAATGTGATTTTCCTCTATGGTTTGTTAATATGGTGACTTACACTGAACTTCAGATGTTGAACCAGCCTCACACCCCCAGGATAAACTCCACTGATTGTGATGTATTGCCCTTTTTATATATTGCTTGATTAGTTTTGCTATATTTTGTTGAGGATTTTTTCATTCCTATTCATGAAGGATATTCTGTAGTTCTTAGACCAAGTGCACATGGAACATTCACCACAGCAGGCTATATTCTGGGCCATAAAACAAACTTTAAGAGTGTGACATCTTTAAAAATATAATTGAAGTAATACAAAATAGGTTCTCTTACTATGTCAGAGTTAAAATAGAAATAACAGAGAAACACACCTTTAAATAGCCCATTGGAAAAAAGGAAGCCTCAAGGGAAATTAGAAAATATTTTGAACTGAATAAAAATATATAAAAATTCATAGGATGCAGCCAAAGCAGTGTCTAGAGGAAAACTTATAGCACTAAAAATGACTATATTAGAAAAGAAAGGTCTTAAATCAATAATCTGAGCTTCCACCTTAAAGAAAACAGAAAAAGAAGAAAAATAAACCCAAAGCAGAAAGAAGAAAATAATAAAGAGCAGAAATCAATGAAAAAGAAAACATAAAAGTGGAAAAAATAAAACCAAAAGTTAGGTTTTGGAAAGATTAATAATATTAATGAACTTTTTTTTTTTTTTTTTTGAGGAAGATTGGCCCTGAGCTAACATCCGTGCCCATCTTCCTCTACTTTATACGTGGGATGCCTACCACAGCATGGCATGCCAAGTGGTGCCATGTCTGCACCTGGGATCGAAACCCTCAACCCCCAGGCCGCATAAGTGGAACGTGCGCACTTAACCTCTGCGCCACCGGGGCAGCCCCTAATATTAATAAACTTCTAATCAGACTAACCAAGAGAGGAAAAATTTATCAATATCAGAAATGAAAGACAGAATAGCATTACAGACCCTGCAGAAATTGAAAGGATACTACAGGTGTGCTACAAAAACAACTTTGTGGCCATGCTTGACAACTTACACGAAATGGATGAATTCCTTGAAAGATACAAACTACTAAAACTCATTTATAAAGAAATAGATGACTCAAATAGTCCTTTATCTACCCAAGAAATTGAATTTCAGTTAAAAACCTTGCAATTAAGAAAATTGCAGGACCAGACAGTTCCACTGGGAAGTTCTCCCAAACATGCAAGGGAGAAATAATGCTGTCCCTACTTTTAGAAAAGAAGTTCTCTCAGCGTGCCCTTTAGTAATGCTAATCTCATTAAAACACACACACATACACGAAGGAAAGAAAAGGAAAAAAAGGGTGCAGCTTTGTGCAAAAGGTGTTTATTTGGGAAGCTGACCCTTGCACCTTCTGCGGTTCTGCGGGCCCAGAGGCTTCGCTGGGAGGCCAGTGTCGAGGGCACAGAACTGTCACACAGGGATCCGACACTGGAAACAGCTCCAGGCCAGACAGCACAGTCCCACTCTGATGGATGAGGAGACGCATGGCTGCTTCAGACCCCACACCGAGGGAGGAATTTGAGCTCAAAAACAAAGTAAGCCCCAAGCACTGGTTCCAAATCCACACAAAAAACCTTGTTTCTGAGGGCAAGGCAGGCAGCGTTTCCCCAGAGGACCCCAGGGTCAGCATCTCTGAGGCCCTGCTGCATGCCTGCCCGCTGCTGTAAGCATTCCAGTCCACCTGGCCAGCCTCCGGCAAAGGAGACAGGGGGCCGAGGTGGCCTGGAGCCCTCCTCTCAGGTCGTCACTTGGCAACTGTGGCAGCTCAGCCGAGAGGCATGGGTGTGACCTGTCTCCTCCTGACTGGCCCCTCAGAGGAGGGCGCCCTGCTCTGCTGTGCCTGAGGAGCCCGGGGACTCTGGACAGCTCCAGAGGTCCCCATGCCTCCTCTCTCATCCCCTCCAGAGAGGCCGCGTAACACCCCCCACCCCCCCCCGCCACTGCTTCCCCTCCCATGCCTTTGGCCATGGGGAGAGGGGCCTGACAGTCTTTGCAGACAGGACCCAATGTGCGTGTGTTAGCCCATCTGACCAGATGGCTGTGAGGCAGGAGACCCGGCAGCCAGGCCCAGCAGCCGTCAGTCTTACCAAGCAGCTCAGTTCCTAATTCTGCCTAGAAACCGGCACAGCTCTGCCCCATCCTGGGGCCCCTGCAAGTCCTGTGGGCTGCTCAGATGAGCTGCTCCCACAGCCACCACACCCACAAAAAGAGCCTGTGTTGGGGGGGGGGGTCCTGCCTCCTCCAGCAGGAAAACAGGGAACCTGCCTTGCTGGGGAGCTGAGCCCTGTGGGCAAAGACCACTCCTTTCTGCACTGCCGTGCTGGTTCTGGCTGGCTCCTGGACTCCTGAAGCATCACCCAGAGTTTATTGCTGGCTGTTCTCTTCACTGGATGGGTCGTCATCCACTCTGAGCTTGCCCAGCGAGGCAGCTGCCTGCACCAAGGCCTCAGTGGGTGAGTGGAAGAGGCCAGAGAGAGATTGAGGCCAACCACAGACACCCGAGGGGAACCACTCTTTGGTGGGACATGCGGGGCTGTGGGCTGAGGGGACAGCACGAAGTCAGGGGGTTCTGGGAATCGTGGGCCAGGGACGTGGAGACTCCACACGAGGCCCACGTGACACGGTCACGAGTTTAAGAATGCAAAAGCTGATGGCTCTGAGCCAGGAGGCTCTCTTGCTGCCACACTCTGTGACAACGTCCAAGGGGCCTGGGGGGCCGAGGGAGGCTCCCCTGCAGCAGTCCCAGCCCCCAGCAGGCGGGGACAGGCTACCAGCTCCATGCCGGCAAACAAGGAGCTGCAGCTACCACTGGCCACTGGGCTCCATGGGCAGCCGCTGGGGCCTGGCCCGAGCTCTGGCACTCCCTCTGTGGTATCCGTGCCTGAAGGGCCCGGCTCAGATGCAGGCCCCTGCTCCCTGGAACCTGCCAGTCTGGTCTCGGCCTCCCTGGTGTCCCCAGGCCCAGCAAGTGGGGAACCCTGCAGGGGAGGGGGCTGCGCAGGGCCCTTGGGTGAGAACAGGGCTGAATTCAGAGGCTGCAGGAATGCCTGGCCCCCCCCAAAAGGCACAGTGTCGGTCAGTAGGTCGGAGGGGCCCGCGTGGGTAGTTGCAGTGCCTGGCTCGGCCGGGGGCCTCTGGGCAGGGGGCCGCTGTCGGCAGGAAGCTTCAAAGTGCCTCAGGATCTGGACAACGGAAGGAAAGGGGACTCAGTGAGTGTTCCACGCTCTCCAGAAATCATGGGGACTGGCCTGCCCCTCCCAGTGCCTCCTCGCTGCTATCCCACTGATCAGTGTTGGCTGCTTTAACACCGGGCCCCACTGTCCACGCCCAACCTGCGGCCATGCGTCCTGCCCCACACCTGCTGTTACACACGGACGTTTTCCCTGTCACTGAACCTGGCTGCGAGACGAGCCAGCACAGGGAGAGGTGGCCCCTTGTCGGGCACCATGCAACCACCAGACATAGACTGAGAGAAAAAAGGTGCCTTAGCCCATCCAGTCATTCCCACCTGCCGGACACCTGGGTTCTCCCAGTGTTCCTGTCCTTAGGAATACCCCCATGACATGCCACCACACTGTGTGTCTTGTGTATCACAGAGTCACTGACACTTTGACCAAAGAGAATTTGAATTTTCAGTGGCCCCAGAGAAAAAGGGAAGAAGCCAGAGGATGCCAACAGGCAGTGAAGGCGCCAGGGCTCAGCTGCAGGGAGGCCAGCAGCCCAGAGGCGCTGCCCAGAGGTCCCCCAGTGACAGACTCCCGGTGGCCTCCACACAATTCAAGCCTATGTGGGAACGGGACTCAGATGAAGGAAACATTTCTGCCCTCCAGAAGCCAAGCATGGACCCGTGAACTGTGGGGTGGAGAACAGTGGGATAAATCTCTCCAAGCAGTCAAGGAGGGCTTCCTGCAGGAAGCTCCATGTGAGCTGAGCCACGTGGAAGCAGGGTTGCTGAGCAGTAAGGTGGGCAAGCTTGGGGGTATTCCAGCAACCAGTGAGCCTCGAGGGCCATGAGCCAGTGAGAGGCGAGGACCCCGACTGCGGTTCTCAGGGCATGACTTGTCCTGGGCAGCAAGGGACAGGCACAAGTGTGTGTCTGGGAAAGGACGGTGGGAAAGGGTGTGGGACTGGAGGTGTCCCTGTGCCGGCTCCTCTGGGCCACGGCTGTTGCCCACCTTGGTGGCCTTGTTGGTTACAGGTCCGGGGCTGCCCGCGCTGAGCTCCTGCAGCCGTGGCCGGGTGAGGAGCAGGATGTGCTCCTGGGGGAGCAGGTCAGTGCACCCGAGAGAGGCGACGGCACCCAGGGCTCTCTGCAGGGCAGAGAGGAGGTCGGCAGGTCCACCCAGGAGAAAGGCCTGTCTGGCCAGCTCCCTCCCTGCTCACTGAGGCCCAGTCTGAGCGCCAGTAAGCCCCTGCGGCAGCCCCACCAGGATCCTGCGCTCACTGCCCGCTCCCACTTGCCTCCCCCGGGCAGACCACCAGTGAGGAGGCCACCGTGCCACCCCCGCCTGCTCCCCTCGCACAGGCCCGCACTCGCCCGCACTCACCATCTGCACACACTCGCTGGTCCCACCCAGGTGGCAGATCAGCAGCTCCAGCACCGCCTCGCAGTTGAGCAGTCCACACCTGCACGAGGGGGCTCTGGGCAGGGGGTCGGGGCAGGGGCAGCGAGGCCATTCCCCTCACCCCCTCACCCGGGCAAGGCTGGGGGGCGCAGGGCCAGGGTGAGGGGCCGGAGGACAGGGGGGTGGGGGACTGGGAGTTCGGGGGAGGGCTCACTCTTTGACGAAGTGCTGGGCCTCCTCTCTGCTCAGGAAGGCGCGCGACCCCCGTGTCACGGTCTGGACCAGGCTCAGCTCCTGCTGGCAGTCACTCAGGGTCATGGCCTCGGCCCTGTGGGGGGCATGGTGGGTCAGAGCAGAGGGTGGCTCCACCGCCACCAAGAGGGGCAAGGTCCTCCAGGTCAGGCCTCCCTCGCCAGGTGGGGCCCAGGAAGGGTGGGGAGGCATGCCCTGAGGCGCGGGCTCACCGTTCCGCCAGGTCGCTGGGGGCCCAGCTGGCCCCGGAGGGGCTGTCGCTGCCTGACCGACTACCCGAGTCTGAGGTCTTGCCCAGGTTGCCGTTCTCCTGGGATGAATTCTGAGAGCTGGGGCTGCTGTCTGGCTCGTCCCAGCCCCCGCCGGCCTGCCCGGGCTGGTGTCTCAGGGCTGGAAGAACCAGTGACCGAGGTAAGACCTGGGGGCCTCAGACCGGCCTCATGCCCACCTCCCCGAGACCCCTGGACCAGAGACCCAGGGAAGGGCCAGGGGGGCTGGGTCCCAAGCTCCAGCTCCAGAAACCAGCAGCAGAGGAGGGCAGGGCCGAGGGAGCACCCCCTCAAACAGGGGTTGAGGTGGGACACAGCCGGCCTGAGATTCAGGTCAGGAGGACACAGCAGCACCAGGCACCAGAAGCCAGGGGGGCACCGGACCGTGGCAGACGTGCGAGGCGGCCAGGCTGGGATGGGGGCAGAGCCAGCACAGCAGCTCTCAAATCTTATGAGCCACGTGACTGTGATAGAAGCTTCTGGTAGAGGCGGAAGTGGAGGTCTACCCGACACCTATTCCACCTTCCTCTCTAAACGCGTACGTGGGTGGCTCCGTAACCGAGCATCACTGACTGGCTGCTCCTCCCCCTGGGAGGAAGGCACCGTGGAGGCCCGCCCGTGCCCGAGGGTGTCGCTGCCAATGCCCCATGGGCCGTAGAGCCGCCCAGATGCACTGAGTAATGGGATGATGGGACAAAAGCTAGAGCTGGGGCCCCTGTCCCAGCTCAAATGCTGGTTCTGCACAGGAGGAGCGGGGACTCTCGGGTACCCCCTGGCCCTCTTGGGGCCGTAACATCCCGCTCCCACTTGGCATAGCTAGCAGAGGCATCTAGACAGTGTGTGGACACTGGTCCATGAGGCAGGACGGGTCTGTGCGAAGCCACTGCAGAGGCCGTGGAGAACGCACGTTGCGTTGGCGGCTGGCTCTGCGGGGTTCCCACATGGCCCATCCAGTAACTGACGGCACTTGGCCTTTGAGAGGTGTGGCAAGACCAGCAGAGCAAGGCTCACAAAACCCCGATGGGTGTGCTGCTTGCTTCCTCCTATGTCTGCTCGCAGCCTGAGCTGGCAGCCTGCAGCCCCTGCTGGTATGGAGGTCTTGTCATGTGCTCCACCCCCGGGCCCAGCAGATGACAAGAAGGAGCTTGCTTGCCCGGACCCAGACCGTAGGAAGGGAAAGCCCCTCAAGGAAGGAGTGGCACCTCATTACCTCGGGCACCCGGGACAGCTCCGGGGAGTAGATTCCCGGGACTTGGGTGGGCATGGCTGGCTGAAGGCGTCATGGCAGGCTGGTAGGCGTCACCCCGAGGCGGGGGCCTCCTGGTACTGGGGCTCTCAGACCCAGGGCGCACAGCATTGGCTACCACCTCTGCCGCCTTCTGGATGGTGGAGAGGAAGGCCTCCCCCGCAGAGCCTGTGCAGAGGGAGAAGGGAGATGGCGCTGGCCTCCCTCGGTCCCGTCCCCCACATTCTCCCATGGCTGCTCCCTGCCCAGGGCTCAGGAGGTCGGGACACGAGCTGCAGTTACAGAGCACAGGCTGCGCGACAGAACCCAGGCCCTTCCAGAAGCTTCCCCAGTGACTATATTCCCAGGCCCGATGGAGCCGGGACGCTCTGCACCTTACAGTAGAGCTATGTCCCTGGGTTCCCACGGTCCCCACCTCAGAGCAAAAGGCCTCCTAAGGAGCTTGTCCTGAGAATTTGACCTCCATGGCCTCTCAAGAGCTACTCGCGTCCAGCGCTGGGGGTGCCCTTCCCTACGTGAGCACCCCATGGAAGGGTGGACCAGCCGTCACCCACCAGTGAAGAGCAGACGAGGCCTGAGGCAGACCTGCTTGAGGAAGCAGCGCCTCAGAAGTGCCGGGGGGCCCGAGAGCTGTGACGAGGATGGGCAGTGCTACAGAGGGACAAGGCCCGAAGCCCACACGAGGCCCACGGGGCCCTGCTGCGGGCCTGCCGCGCTCCAGCCAACGGGGCCTGTTGTTTCCACTTGAAATGACCAGCACCGTTCCTGCTCTGTCACCTCGGTCACAGCCAGGACCACTGTCCTCTGCTCTCAGCCCTCGAAGGAGCCAGGGGCAGGGGCCCGAGCACGGGGCTGACCTCAGCTTTGTTGAGCAGGCCCGGCTGCCTGCCGTGCTCTCCCGCAGGACGGTGCAGAGAAGACGGCAGCGGAACAAGACCACAAAGGCGGAGAGGAGTCAACACGTGGGCACACCGCCCGCCCGCCCTCCACACCCCTCGGCTGACCAGAGCAGCGGCTCTCGTCCCTGCACTCCAAGAGGCCATGCAGCGCTCACCTGTATGGCCCCGTTCCTGGCTGTAGCCGAAGCCCTGGAGGGTGCCCTGGGGCCTGGACTGGGAGCCCATGCCTGCGGGGAGGACCCACGTCAGCCCCGGGCAGGGCAGCTCGCTCGCCCAGGACCCGCGGAGGGAGGAGGCCCTGAGCCCTCCCCAGAACGGAGACCCAACGATGGGGCTGGACGTGGTTGCCTACCTGCTGGAGGCAAGGCCCTGGGAGGCTGGGAGGGAGATGGAGGGGACGAGGTGTCAGAGAACAAGGCCGTCCCCAAGTCCTAGACAAGAGCCGGGGGGCGGGGGTTGCTCAGGGCTGCGGCACATTTGGCCGCAGTCCTCCCCTGCCCCCAGGCCAGCTCTGCGCCGGCGCCCGCCAACGCTTCTCCTCGGAGGGCCAGACCCAGGAGCTGTGGTCACCCACCAAGAGTGGAGCTGGGCTCCTGGGCTGTCCTGGGGAGGGACCTGGGTCCTGGGCTCACCTGGGCGGCCGCCCGCACCTTCCGGGACAAGCTGTTCCCGTGGAGAGGATCTGGGGGCCCCGCGAAAACTGCAGGACAGAGGCAGAGGGGAGCGGAGCTGAGCTGGGTGCTGCCAAGCACCCGTGGGGTACTGCGGTCAGTCTGCTCCCCTAGGGTCGCTGGCCTCAGCCCACCCTGGCCCCACCCTTGTGGCTGGGCCCCCATGGGCCCCCAGCAGTCCACTCCACTCCCCGGCACCCCCAGAGTCAGGGTGAGCTTTCCAAAACACAGGTCTGACCTCAAACACCCTGGGGTGACATCACTTCCAGGTCAAGTCGCTACCCCCTCCGGCGCCGCCAAGCCTGGGGCCTCTGCTCCTTGGACAAAGCCCGAAGGGCCCGCCACCCCATGTGGTTTCTGAGAGGTGAGCCTGCTGCCCGCACAGCCCCTTGGCTCCCCTAGCCCGATGCCCCCAGGCAAGACCTGTGAATCAACGTCCAGAACATCTCCATGGTGCTCCTCTCTCCAGCCCCACGGCAGTCTCTCACCTGTGTTCCTGCATCAGCCACCTAACTGCCTCCCTCAGCCCATTCTCCACCCAGAAGCCACATGAACCGGGTCTTGTCCACTTCCTAGGGCCTTGTTGATAAAACCCAAGTTCCTCACATTGGCCCAAAAAGTCCCCTTGCTGCCCCACCTCAACCTCAGCCGTGCCAGGCTCCTGGCTCAGAAAGCTTCAGTTGTGGCAAATCAGGTTTTCTTACATGGCATTAAGTCACCGCCCAGGCTCTCCCTTCCTCAGGACCTTTGCACATGCTGGAGAGTACCCCTCCCCCATCTGCTGCATGTGCCTCACTCTGCCTCCTCTTTCAGGACTCCATTTGAGAGCGAGAGCAGCCGCCTCCCTGTTTCCTCTATCACAAATGTATCTCACTTTTCATCCCTTCAGTGCCATCTCCACCTGGCAGCCAGTCCCATGGTGCAGATATAGGACCCCACAACCAGCCAGGGCTGGCAGCCAGAAGCCAAATGAGTGGACGAACGGCTGCGTGTGCCTCCCTGCTGTTCCCACCACAGCTTTCACCTTCCCCACTGGGACCCACCTGCCAGGCCCCAGACGCACAGCCCCCTCCACTGCATGCGCCCAGGCCATCCTCTCTGCGTAGCCCCCATTGTCCCCAGCAGCACCTTCTCTCATACCCCTGTCCCCACGGCCCTGCAAACCTGTTGGGGCACCTGTCACCCTGGGGGACAAGCCCAGAGCACAAGGGGCCACAGGGATAAGTGTAACTGTGTGTGCGGCAGCAGAGATTTCCATGCCACAGAGCCCACGGCCTGCTGCACCCCGAGCCATGCTACCTGCCCTCCCCGAGGAGGATGAGGGGACGGCTGGGGAGAAGAACCGGGCCAAGCTGCCTCGCTCCACAGCTTCGGGCACTCAGCTGTGACGATGCTCGTGACCACGAGTCACCCTGACACCTCTGGGCGTCTAGAGTGAGTTCTGCACCTCCAAGGTGTGGGCACGGCAGCCCGGGCCTCCGCCCCGCCTTCGGGAAGGGAGACAGCAGTTTTGGAGTGTGGGGGGTGAGCCCCAGTGCCTGGCGGACGGGGCAAGCTCACCAACTGCTGAGGGGCTCCTACAAGCAAGTGGTGGCCAAGAGTGACGCAGTCCCCTAACTGGCGGGGCTCCTTTAGCAACAGCTCGGGTGGGTGTATTCCTGCTGGAAGGCCGAACCCTTCTAAAGATTTGTTGGGGTCTGGGACAGCCTACCCCCGAGACCGACCCCAGCCAGGACTGCCGCCCCACCCGAGGATCTCAGGCCACGTCCCCACAAGTCCTTGTTAGCAAGAGATGCACGATGGCCCCTGGTGGGGGGGGATGAGGGGATGGGGCCCCACCCAGACCCACCTGTGGCCTGGACCATGACAGGCAGAGCCCCACCTCTCCCGACGGCCTCACCAGCCCCGTCCTCCCACACCTCTGAGGGCGGGAGGCTCACAAGCGCTCCCTCTGTCTCGGGCCCTGAGGAGCAGCCCTGGGGAGAAGAGAGAGCCAGTGGCAGGGGAGGGCGGTGCACCCACTGTGCCTGCAAAGGCCCAAGAGGGCCGCAGTCGGAATGAGGAATCACACCCAAGGATGTGCACGGCGCCACTGGCGAAGACACGGGGGAGGAAAGGGCGGTGCCGGGCTGGGGAACTGCGTGCCGGGGCACAGAGCGAGGGGCACCGCGAGTGTCGGGCTGACCGTGCGCTGGCCAGCCTCCCCCCACAGCCCTCTCTCGGAGCTGCGCTGGCCCAGCACCTGCGGCTTCCTGGATGAAGGTGGAGTTCCGCTTGAGGATGAGCAGGAAGGACGGGGAGCCGTGACTGCACAGGTGGAGCATGATCTTCAGCACCTGGGGGGACAAGCCATGTGGGCCAAGCTGAGCCAGAGGGCAACCCGCCCGGCACCGCGCCACCTGCCATCCTCAGCCTGTGTCCCTCCCCTCCCACCTTGCCCGTCCCTGACCTGTTCCCCGGGCAGGGGCTGCAGGGCTGCTGCTGGACTCACCTTGAGCTTCACACGGCCGGAGCCACTGTGCAGACGGTTCAGAAGGTACTCCAGGAGGCACTGGCTGCTGCCCAGGGACTCGTGGGAGATTTCTGGGAGGTGACTGGGTTAGGGAAGGAGCGAGCTGACCCCGGGCTGCACTCAGTGGCCGTGGAGGGAAATCAGGCCTCGCTGCCACTGCACCTCTCGCTGCATCCTCCCTGCAGGTACCACCCTGGGCCCTGGTTTCAGGAGCGTCGGGCTCCTTGGGTCTCCTGGGCCCTGTGTCACTGGTAATGTGGCTTTTAGACCCCACCCACGCCTGGTACTATGCTAAAGACACTGTGGGCCCCTCAGGACAGGAAGGCCCCAGGAGACCCGCGTGCTGCTTCAGGCCCCATGTGTGGACAACAAGGAAGGATACTGGCAATCTCCTCAAACAGGTAGCCGGGGCATGGGACGTCATCATCTGATGTTCCCTTCAGGAGAATCGGGAGCTGAAAGTGAGCGAGAGCCCCGGCCCATGATGAGTGACAGTTGCACAAAGGGCCAGCCATTCCCACGAGTGGCTGTGGGAGCCCTAGCTCTCCGGGTGCCTGAGGGAGCCAGTGTGCACGCATCTCGCTGCTGGCAGCCTGCCTGGTGAGGGGGCCAGAGGGCACGGCAATGGTCCCACTGGCCACAGGGAGCCTGCAGGAGCCTCCATTCTGGACCAGTGGGGATGGAGGCCCAGGAAGAGACACTCAGTAGTGGTCTCCATGGTGACGGGCCGGTATGTTTGGGTCAGGATGTGGCATGGCCCCAAGGCCTCTACATTTGTAGACGTGCAAGATGACTTCAAGGCGTCCCTAAGGTACCTACTTATGGACTGGCAAAAAAGAGAAGGCGTGAGGTGAGCCCCCCCACGCAGGGGACTGGGGATGTTTCGTATTTCCAGAGCACTGATTGGCAGTGTGACATAACCACTCGGCCCAACCGACCCACAGCTCCACTTCTGGGGACAGACCCCGTGGAAACAACCCACAGGGAGAATGACCGACTCATGTTGTGTCTCATGTTTATTTGTAGCACAAACACATTTTAGTTTATGTGCTGACTCGTTAGCACAGAGACAGAGGGCCTCCAGACATGACAACCAGAAACCCACTGATCCCACATTCAGCAGGTGGGGGCGTGAGCCTCGGGGCAGACAGGATAGAAGACCTTGGGGTACTGAGAACAATTCCGTCAGGAGCTGGCCACAGACTAGAATTTGAACGGCAGCTGTCTAGTGTCACCACAACACGTGCCTGAGTGTCACGTGAGCCTATGCACCCGCTACTTACACTACTTGTCCACCAAGACCCAGAGGCGAGCTGGAGAGACCCGAACTCTCGGCAGGTGCACTGAGAGGACTGACCAGGGGCTTCTAACAGCACGAGGACGCTCTCAGCCCCCTACAGCGCCTGCCTGAGAAGGTTCAAGGCACCGGGAGAATTTATGGTTCATGCTGGCCAACACCTGGCAACAGGCCTTGACCTTCCTTGACCTTCCGACCTCCCTTTCTTGGAGCATTTACAGTCATGCGCCACATAATGTTTCGGTCAACGACAGACCGCATGTACAAAGGTGGTCCCATAAGGTTAGCACCATACAGTCCAGGTGTGTAGCAGGCTATGCCACCTAGGTTTGCGTAAGCACACGCTGTGTTCATGTCGCCTAATGACGCATTTCCCAGGACCATCCCCATCGTTAAGCAACACGTGACTGTACTAAAAAGGGCTCACAATTGTGAACATGGGTTTCCTACAACTCAGGAATGTCTCTCTCAAGGACGTGAGGGCCATTCTTCAAACTGCAGCCATCAGGAAGGACAGGGCCTGTCTCCCCGTCCCTCCGGGGCGATAGGACCCTATCTTCCATAACTGCCAGCTAGCAGACACAGCCGGCTGAATCCATGGGCGCTGCTCAGCCCCTCAACATTTCTCAACTGAGCCCCACTCTCCCCTGTTTTCCCTTTAAAACGCCAGTCTTCTCAGCACAAATCCGAGTGGAGCTCAGAGCTTTCCCTACTGTCAGAGTTACCCAGTAAAACGGTGACCCCGATTCCCAAACTAGCGCCTGGCTGAGTTGACCTCGGACACAGTTCGGGGCTCACTATCTTTCTTTTCCTGTAAAGCTACTTTAAATTGGGAAAGAAAGCAAATTCGGGTCCCACCGCTATCTTTCTCAATTCGGGTTCTGTTCAAGGGGCCTGAGTGACCCCAGTGGACCTGGCGTCCTGGCCACGTACATAAGGTGAGGTCCCCCAACCTTGGGAGGGGCTGAAGGGGGGAGAAGTGGGGGTGGGTCGGAGGGACCAGAGGAGGCCAGGCGAGGATGGAGGGGCCGGAGGGGACGGAGCGGGTCGGAGGGGACACCGAGCCCAGGAGAAGCCGGAGGGGCCGGAGCGCGGTGACCTGGCGGGGGCCGAGCGGGTCCAGGGAGGTGGGCGGCTCTGGCTCAGGGCGAGCCGGGGAGGCGGCGCGCAGCAGGGCCGAGACCGGCCGCACTCACCCGGTGCAGGAAACTCAGGCGGTCGCGCAGCGGCGGCGTGCCCGCCATGATGCCGGTCACCTCCCGGCCCCGCCCCGCTTCCGCCAGGCCCCGGTCCCCTTCCAATCACCGCTCGAATCTGGCCCCGCTGGCCAATCGCTCGTGTGGGGCGGGCCCTGAGGCCTATTGGGGAAACAATTTGAGCCTGAGCCAATCCGAAGTCCCAGACTAAAGACAGACAAGGCAACGAGCCAATTGCAGGGCTCTGGGAGACCAGGAGCGGTTCGGAGAGAGGCAGAGACGAGAGCCGAAGCCTGGCCAACTAAAAAGCGCGGAGAAGTTTATGGGCGGAAGCGCCGACCTATCCAGCTGTTGGGTGCCGGAAGAGGACGGACCTAAGATGGCGGCGCCCACAGATGCCGGGAAGAACCGCTCATGTCGGGGAACGCAGCGGTGTGGGGGCGGGTGCGGAGCCGCCTCCGCGCCTTCCCCGAACGCCTGTCAGCCTGTGGGGCCGAGGTGAGGATCACCGGGCAGGTCAGCGCCTGCGAGGCAAGAAGGGCCGCGCGGAGGGCGGCGGGCGGCGGGGCGGGGCGCTGACAGCGGCGGGGGTGGCGGGGCGGGGCCTTCTCCGGGGGTCCGGCGGGAGTCGGGGCCGCCGCGACCCTCATCTGGCCCCGTCCTCTCCCTATCCCCAGGCCGCGGCCTACGGCCGGTGCGTGCAGGCGTCCACGGCCCCGGGCGGCCGCCTGAGGAAGGACCTCTGTGCGCAGGAGTTCGAGGCCCTGCGGAGCTGCTTCCTTGCCGCGGTAGGTGGGCGCCGCCCGCCTGGAGGGGGGACCCGGGGGAGGACCCCACGAGCCCGCGCCTGTGGGTGCTTCCGACGCGCGCTCCACCCCCGCCGCCGTGTGCCGCGTCCGTCAAGTGGGGCACCAGCCTCACCGTGGAGGTGACGGTGGTGGCGGTGTGTGCACGAAAGCGCTTTGTCGCTCTACGTGGTACTGTCGCTGGGCGGTGCTGCCCAAACGAACCCCAACCCGGGACCCAGGTAGCTGGCACCCCGCACCCGCCGCGTCTCAGCCTCGCTGGCGTTCTGGAGCGCCGTGTGCTATGCGTAGGCGGTTACGACGGCGGCCGCCACGCACCCCGATCTCCCCGCGCTGCAGCCCCCTTTCTGCGGGAGGGGAGTCTGTAGGTCACGGATCCGAGGTGCGCCCTCATCACCGAGGTTGACAGGCTAAGTCCTCCAGCGCAGTGCGCTGGCCGCCTCTCACTGGTGGAACTGGGCTGTAGTGGCAGCAGTCTGCTCTCTGGACTCCATTCTGCCTCTGACCCTGAGCAGCAAGTCCCTTCTGTTTCTGAGCTGGGGCGTTTTGTGGTCCTCGTCTGATCAGACGCTGTGCCAGTGAAAGTCTTGTGAAAATCGCCAAGCACTGTACCCGAGTCAACAATTAGAGTGTCGGGGTCGCACGTTTTCATAAAGGACTCGGAGAACATAGGGTTGGAGGAGATGCAGACGTGACGGGAAGTGGGAGAAGCTGGCCGCAGCGGGAGTTCCAGAGCGCGCGAGGAGGCGCTGCCCGCCAGGAGGCTTTAATGACAAAGGTCTTCGGCTGGTGCCCAAGGTGTCACCAACCTTGGTGCCCCTGATTTGATGGGTCTGGGGTGGGCCATGATGCCAGAGACCAGCTCTGTTCCTCGGAGCTGCTGACCTAGAGAACTGGACCAGAGAGAGGGCAGTTGGGCCAGCTCTGACAAATTCAGGGAACCCGAGGTGGAGTTTCCTGATGTTCCGGGATCCTCCTAGGCAGGACGTCTGCGAGTACACGGGACAGGAATATCTGCTTCTTTAGTTTAGGAAGATAGTTCACACACTCCTTTCCCAGAAGGCTCAGAGAACTTGCGCCTAATCTTTTTTTTTTTTTTTTTGAGGAAGACTAGCCCTGAGCTAACTACTGCCAGTCCTTCTCTTTTTGCTGAGGATGCCGGGCCCTGAGCTAACATCCGTGCCCATCTTCCTTTACTTTATATGTGGGATGCCTACCACAGCATGGCATGTGCCAAGTGGTGCCATGTCTGCACCTGGGATCCGAACCAGCGAACCCTGGGCCACTGAGAAGCGGAACGTGTGAACATAACCACTGTGCTACCGGGCCAGCCCCACACCTAATCTTTGCCATTATTCTGCCCCGGACACACAGGCCTCACCCCCGCCTCCCCATTGGCTCTTGTCACTGACCTCAGATGTGATGGGGCTGTTCACCTGAGGGTGCACGTGTCCCTTGGACTTGTGTCTTGCCCAGTGGCAGCTTCCCTGCTGTACAGCCCTCCCCGAGGGGAGGAAGGGACGAGACAAACCTCCACCCTGTGGCTCCTGGTTGGAAGACTTTGCATGTGTGACACCCTGGGTTTCCCTCCACCTGTTGGGCTGGTCAGCAGCTGCTGTAGGTCTCTGGTCGTGTCGGACGTGCTTCCACTCCTTTGTCTCCATCACGTAAAGACGATCCCGCAGCGCCTGCCCTGCCTGCCATCTTTCTTCGCTGAGACAGCCTGGCTGCAGGCCCAGGGAATGGGAGCTCAGGACTAGGGGACCGGAGTGTTTCTCACCACGAGGAAACATGCCGATGAACCCGGTTCTGCCTATTCTGCCTGTAATCCAAGGCACTTGTGGGGGCCGCATAAGGAAGCAGAAGGGGCCTTGGGCTCCAATTCCAGCTCTGTCCCTGTGAGCCCTGACCCTAAGCATGGGTCTCAGCATCTGTGACCGCAGTTTCCTCTGTAAGAAGGGGCTCCTGCCACCTCATGAGGACTGAACGTGTTGCCTGAGGGTGCGCCTGCACAGTGCCTGGTGTGGGCGGGCGTGGGTTTGAGTCCTGTCCTCAGTGTCATGGAGCAGATCAAGCCCCTGGGCCTGTGGAAGCTGAAGCAGAGACCCAGGCCCAGGGCCCCATGCTCCAGCCAGCCGGGCCCCTGCCACACGCCCCTGGCCCGGGGCGGGGCTCTTTGTAAGGTATTTGCTAGAAGATGGCATTTAGTGTGGTAGTCTTCTTTCTAGAGCCCCATCTAACTTGGAAACAACACATTCAGATAAAATATTTTCTCTTTCAGGCCAAGAAGACCCAGAAGGGAGGCCATTAGGAAGGAGGAGGACTGTGCTTGACATCCATTTGCTGCCCAAGGGCACAGAGCCAGGCACCTTGTCCTGACGGCCCCAAGGGGCAAACATCTAACGTTCTTAGGGCTAAAAGGACCTCAATGTGTATGCTGAGCCCAAGGCAAAGAGGAAGCGGTTTTCTGTATTAGAATAAGATGCCGTGAACCAACAATAAAGACGTGAATCAACAATAAAGATGGCAGCAGATCACGCGGGATCCCTCTTTTGTGGTACGTAGTGTGCGTGGGCCTGGCCTCTCCCTGCAGAAGCTGACGGGGCGTGGGCCTTGGCAACAGGCTGCCTCCTGATTCTCACTTTTTAAAGCATTTTCACCAGTATGTCATCTCAATCCAATGGAGCATCTAGATGTATCTCAGTTGACAGAATGTACCAGAGACAACAGCGACACCGTGAGGCAGAGTTCCGCTCTGCGAGGAATCCCATACCCAGGCATGCTCTTCTAGACTAAGGCAGTGAAGACAGGTGTGAGCCAAGAGGGGTTTTGGTTTAGGAAGCCAGTGAGGCTGGCCAAAGCTGCAGGCTCCCCTCCCCGCGTGGGCTGGCTGCTCACCATTCCACAGCCTCCTTCGGAGTCAGTGCAAGCCCATCCGGGCCACAGCTCCCAGCCTCCCTAGTGCCACACCCCCCTCCCCGCTTGTCCTGAGAATAAGGTTAGGGGTGCAGCACCGCCCCTCCCAACACACATGGGCACAGGCAGGCCCCGCGACAATGGGCAGCGCCCTCAGTGCCCACTGCCCTGAACACCACCTGCCGGGTGCATGGGGACTGTGCTCCAAAGAGCATCCTCCCAGGGACCTGGAGGGCACACTGTCCTTGGGCCCACCCAGCCCCTGGCGTCCAGAGCCCCCTGCCAGGAGCCGAGGTCTGCACTCCCTTTTTCTCAAGTGAACACAACTCCACAATTAGCCTGACTCCCCCCATGCGGAGAGCATCACATCTCAGACGTGAGCGTCCGCCTCAGTGAAGAGGAGAAGCTGGCCGCTATCAAGGGCTCTGTCCTGCTGGGCAGAGTCACATCTCACGGGAACCACTGGAATTAAGGTCCAGAAACTGGTGACACGACCCCCCTGCCCCTGCTGGGGTGACGGGAGGCCCCCAGATAGCTCGAGGGCCTACGGGAGGAAGGGGTGAGCCAGGGAAGCGGGCTTCCTAGGAGCCCCCCGAGCACAGCTGTGCAGTCTCCACTGCCCAGCCGCGTATTGCCACCCGGCCGGCGCACCCAGCCTTCCTGGGCAGACTTCTCTTCCCGACCCTCCTGCCCTCCACTCCGACCCTCGACAGCTTGTCGGCTAGAGCTTCCCGTATCTTCGCTGGGCACACCCACTCCAGCCCTTCCAGAACTGTCCCCCCAGGTGCTGTCTCCTGCGTCCTTTCAATCTCCAATGCACTGGGGCAGATGGAGTCCCCACGTCTCACATCTCACACAGGGCCAGCCCGCGCTCCATGTCAGACTCCCTTCCGACCTCCGCGGCCTTCATCCCTGCTCCTCTGGCCTCCCCCAACTCACTTCATCTTCAAGACTACATTTATAGAAGGGAGTTCAACAAAGTTGGCGTGGGGTGCAGCAAAGACAACTTCCGCCACCTCTACAGCCGGTCATCGCGTAGAACTCATCATGTGCGGCTCCATGCCGTTCGCCTGTCTTGGCCCTCAGGCAAGGGCCTCTGAATTCACTGAGGACTCAGCTCCACTGGGGTTCCCTCCTCGCTCGGTGGAGGCCGACATGGCCTTGGCCCAGCTCCTTTGCGCCCAGTTGGCTTGGTGGCCCCACTCTAGAATGGGAGCCCTGCAGGCAGGGTTGCGTCCAGGGCAGACCTGGCCCGTCTGCTGCGATCAGTAGCCAACACTGAGGGTGGCCCACTGGTGGCCCAGCTTGCTGCTCTAGCTGGGACTGCTGGCGACACCTACCAGTCATGGGACCCAGAAAGAGGAGCAGTCTGTGGTCAGAAAGCAAAGCACTGTTGCTGGTCCCTCCTGCTCCCTGCAGTTCTGACAACAAAGTCCCAGAGGTCTGCCTGGATTCTGGGCAGGAACATTCTTGTTCCTTCCCTGAGGGGCTGCCCACTGGGAGGAGGAGTGGAGCTGAGAGCCAGGAGGAGGGAAAAAGAGCGCTAACTGGGCCGGTGTGGCTCCTAGGGTGTGGAGGCAGGGGGCGGGCAGGCAATGGCAGAACCCCCTGCACTGCCAGTCATGGGTGGTTTTCTGAGCGGGGCTGGGCCACTCTGAGCTACAGACGAAGTGAAAGGAGGGTGGTGTGACCTCCAGAAAAGGACAGGAAACCTGGTTCAAGCTAAGACATTCAGGAGAAAGCTGGAAATAAAATCCCACTCCAAAAACTCAGTTTCAATCTGAGGAAAACGTCCAGAAGGTGTTTTCCCTCCAGGGATGGTTGGTTTGGAATTGTTTCTAGTTAAGAACGAAAGACAGGCAGCACCCGAGACACTCCCCCATCACAGAGCCTTCCTCTGTGTGAACAGTGCCCCAGCCCTGGCCTCCACACCCAGCCCTGGCATTCGGGAGGAATCAGCTTGGCCTCCAGAAGATTCCACTCCTTTTACTACTCATTTCTAGTCTTCAGGCTGCCCAATGACATGGAAATTACATTAAAAAATACAAATGACTTCAAAAGGTGCCAGGAAAAGTGTGAGCCGAGTTCTGAGGCAGGAGCCCCTGTACATCCGTGGGCCTTCTGTGGGCATGGACACGGCTGGCCAGCAGTTAGTGGGTGGCCCACACAGACCCCTCGAGGTAGGGTCTGGAGCATGCCCCCTACCCCAGAAGGAGAGTGCCACAGGACCATGCAGGCAAAGGCCCTGGGCTTGCAGGTAGGACAGCCCACCAGACCTGCCAGGCACACCTGCCCAGCACCCTCTGGGACTGTCAGCTTTTCTGCTCCTTGAAAACAAAACACAAGATCAACACCACAACACCCTCCCAACAGATGAGCTGGGTCCAGAGAGTACAGCCTGGAGCCCTGCAGACCTAGGGCGGGGGGGGGGGCATGCTGTACCTGAGAACAGGTCGCCGCCCAGGACCAGCCGCCTGGCCTCCCCTTCCCTCATCTACCCTCTCCTTCCCTCCCTTCATCTCAGGATGGTGGTCCCCTCCTCTCCTCCCAACCCCTATCTCCCCTCCCCTCCCTTCATCTCAGGACGGTGGCCCTCTCCTCTCCCCAACCCATCTCCCCCCTCCTCTCTCCCCTCCCCTCCCCTGGGTGAGGGCCTGGTACTGGGGTCCAGATGAGCTCTGAGCAGAGCAGGTCTGCCTGCTTAGGGGTCTTTTTCGGGGCTAGGACACATCCAGTTCCCAGGTCACCGTGAGGTACGACCTCCAGTCACAGCTTTATGTTGTACGGAACCCTGGACTGTTTTCCTTTAGGTAATTTACCTCAACACCAACCTTACTACAAGACATCAGTGGTGGTATTTTTTTTAATCTCAATAACGTGACTGGGACCCACGGAGCATGTGGCGAGTGGAGCAGACCACGAAGAGGTGGAGGTGAGCAGGCGCCAGCAGCTTTCTGACACCCGCGCCCCTGGGGTACGGAGCAGAGTGAGGGCGAATGTTTGTTAAGGTTTTCTACCACACTTGTAGACAACCTTAGATAAAGAGTTAAAACTCGGAGTAACTGGACACTTGGGGCCGGATGGCTGGTCCTCAGAGCAGCCCATGTGCCGGGACTGTGCCCGCACTTGAGGGCACCGACACCTCAATCGCATGATCCCGCTCAGTGACGGCGGCCGCTCCCCCAGCTGCACGGGACCCACCTGTCTCAGAGAGAGCAGAGGTGGCAGGTCACAGACCTCAAGGCCCTACAGATGCCACATCTCCTCAGAGTCTCAGAGCAGCCGTTTCTCCTCCTGGCCGTGGTAAGCTCAGTCACCTGGGGGAGTTACAGAGGTGCCACAGTGATGGCAAAAACCATTCTGGAAAACGAGGCTGCAGCTAAACATCTTTCAGGCTTCAACGGAGCGTGACCTCCAGAATTCGGTGCCCACCGTGGTCCAGGTCTGCTGGTGGCCTGGGCATGCCAGGGGAGACCAGCTGACCAGAATGGTGGCCATCAGTGGGCGCTCAGGGCTCCTCCAGGGCCGGGGGCAACTGTTTGATCTGGCGGCTGTGGACCACTCGCAAAGCACCCCCTGCGGCCTGGTGGAGCTGGTTCTCCAGGGCACTACGGAGGTCGCTGACCTGCACATCAGGCAGGGGGTTAAAGCTGGTGATGACCCTGTCCTTCGAAGCTGGCCCTGCCTCTGCAAGAGGAGCCGCCTCCCGCCGTCTCCGCCGAAGATCGGAGCCAGCCTGGACTTTCAGGTCTCGGTTGGGTTTGGCATTGTCTGGCTTCTGAGCACCGGGGACGGCTGGCTTGGGCCCCAGCTCAGGGTCTGGCCTCTGCTCAGGCTCTTGGACAGCAGTATCCTCCCCGGGAGCAGGCACATGGTCCCTGCCGAGGGTCTTCTGTCCCACCTCTGCGTGACCGCCCTGCTGTGCGCCCTGACCCCCGGCAGAGACAGCCCGGTGCTCTGGCTGACGTAACTCGGCCTGGGCCCGAGGGGCTGCTCCTCCTGACCTGCTGGACAGGCCTGCAGGTCCCCGGTCTTGGCCCACTTGTTGGGGCTTCACGTGACGGTCCCCAATCTCTGCCCCTGCCCCCAACACATCTGCAGCTTGACTGTCAGCACCAGCAGCTGCTGCCTCCTTTCCAGATTTCTTCCTTTCGTGGGAGCCTCCACCAAAAGCGTGCCGACTCTGCCTGGGGGATTCCCCAGCGTTGCGCTCCCCTGGGCTCCTGGGCACCCCGGCAGGGTCTGGCACGGGGACCCGCTCCTGCACACCAGCACCGGCCGCCTCGGGGACAGCGCCCTGCCGACCTTCCCTCAGCTCAGCCTGGGCTGCCTGGGGCTCCTTGTCAGCGCCCCCACCGCCGGGAGGACCAGCTCGGGCTCTGCCTGCAGCCCCCTCGGGCTCCTCCACAGAGCGCTGGCCGTGCCCCTGGGGCGGAGCAGGTGGATGCCCAGGAGCTCCGAGTACTGGTTCCAAAGGCCGCAAGGGGGGCTGCTCCACCATTCCTCCGTCGTGGGCCTCCTGCTCCTTACCTCTGGCTGCAGCCACCCCAGGCTCGGGCTGTGCATCTACTGCAAATGAAATTGGTCATCCATTTAGCCATGGAAATGAGCAGAAGCTACGATGTTGGGACTAAAAGGAATCAGGTTGCCAGCAAGTAAGAACTACAAATAAAAACTTAAATTTTCCCAGCAGGACTCTAGGCCTCGGAGCCACAGATCTAGCCACACAGGACACCTGGAGATGCTGTGGCAATCATGCATGAAATGACACCCCACTCACCCCCACCCCCACTGCCCACTCGCTCTGCCCTCCCTGCCGGCCCAGACTTGCCCTCCTCGCCGTCCTGCCTCTGCTGGTGGATCTCCTTGTGCTGCTCTTCGATCACTGCGAGCAGCTTCTCCTGCTGGTCCAGCAGGCGCTTCTGCTGCACCTGCTGCTCTTTTATCACTTGCAACAGGACGGCGTGGTCCAGCATCTCTGCCCTGCCAGCTTCTGGTGTTCAGAAAACACAGACAATCAAAGCCTGCTGGCCCTTCAGAGGCTGGGGCAGGGCTGAGGGTGGCGTGACACGTGACACCACCAAGGTTGCCTGCTGCCTCCCCAGGACACCCCGCATAGGCACTGCTCTTCTCACCCTCCAGCCAGCTCAGGGAGCTGTTCAGGCCAGAGGGAGCCACTCAGGGCCACTCCCCAGGCACAGCCAAGGCCTCCGCAGTGGTGGCCCATGACCCTTCTAATGGCTCCACTCTCACACTGGCTTGTGGTTTAGACACATCCAGCAGAATACCAGCTACCCTATTGCTGCTCACTGGGAATAAATGTGGAGAGAAAGGCCGAGGTTGTGTGCAGAACAACAATGATGATCCGGGCTGGGTGATTTAAACTATCAACTATTCTTAAAAAAGAATATTGGTACTTTAAGAAAGTTCCCTCCAAGGGGAAAATTTTAAAAACAGAATTGTTCTCCTTTTCAGCAGAGACAAGAGCTAGTCTCACTTCAGTGAGACCAAGGTTGGCCTCCAACACGCAGCGGGTCCTGACCACCCGAGGAAGCCGGTGCAAACCAGCAAGGAGGAGCAGCAGGAGGAGTGAGGGACTGGCCAGCTGCAGCAGGTGTGTGTAAGAGGGCCTGCTATGCTCTTTCACACCCACCGAACACAGAACACCCACCCAAGAATGTGGACTGAGGGGAGGCCCCAGGTCTGAACACCTTGCACCAGCAGTGGCCTCCCGGGGGTCCATGGGGGAGCCCCCATTACAACAAACGCTTCAGCACTGGATGAGCTATTCACAGCGAGCAGCTGTTGTTGTGTAACTTTTAGACATGTATGTCTGTCTTTTTTTGGGTGAGGAAGATTGTTGCAAGCTAACGTCTGTGCCAGTCTTCCTCTATTTTGTACGTAGGACGCCACCACAGAATGGCTTGATGAGTGGTGTGTAGGTCTGCACCTGGGATCTGAACCTGCGAACCCTGGGCAGCTGAAGCAGAGTGCGTGAACTTAACCATTATGCCACTGGGCTCACCCCTAGATACATAAGTCTTGAAATAGGAAGCCATGAAAGATGACGTAACTGGTTAGGGCCATCAGGTATAGAAGTTCAAACTGGAAGGAAGAATGTTTTGTGAGTGGTGAGAGCGACCATCTGGTGAGACACCCACATGCTAGGTACACACAGATGTGCTGGCCTGCTCTCCCCAACGGTGACCTGCCAGACAACTCGGAGTGGGCCTTCTCCCAGGGACTGTGGTGGCTTCCCCCTGGAGCCCGGTGCAAGGACGTACATGTGGGCAGGCTGGTGAGGAACATGCTGAGGCCCAATGCAGAGAAGACAGGGCCACCCTGAGGACAGGGCTACAGGGAGGACAGGAGAAGGGCCAGCCCCCTGCTCCCTGCCTGGTACCCATACAGACATCCTAAGGTCATCAAGACGCCTGCCAGACAAAGGCCATGTCCTGTGAATCAGAATGGGGCTTGGCAGACCTCCCTTTAGATGAGGAACATGCACAGCACCATCCCCATGGGTCCAGACCAGCCACCTAGGCCAGGGGCCATGCTGTCACCCTGGGTGCCTGTGGCTCATGACCACATAATGGCTGATGGTACAAGGATGGCCCATATGCTGTCCCCAGGGCAGGTTCCAGAGGAGCAGGCCCCATCACCTCACTGGCTCTTGGAAGATCAGCCCTAGACTGACGCTGGAGGAGGAGGGGAAGCGGTGCCATGTCCAGCCGGAAGCGACATATAGGACAGATGTAAAACAGAGTGGAGGTGACAAGCTGTGCCCACAGCCAGAGCCCCCCGTGCAGCTCTAGGCTCCCACGTGGCCATCAGGACCACGGACCAGGTTCGCGGATGGGATGAGAGCTGCCCAGATATTAATATACGTGCAGAATATATTAATATTGGGCCATGCACACAGCAGAAGGTAAACGCAGGCCTCCCGCCCTGTCTCCTAGGTGGGGCCTTAAGCAACCAGCACTTACAGACTGCACTCAGCTGTCTTCTGGTGACAGCGGGGCCACAGCAGGGCTAAAAAAGACCAGGGCATTTGTGAAAGAAGGGAGTGAGTGGGGCATCAGGGGGGCCCCCACTGAGGGGCTGTGGCCGAGCCCGGGGGCAGACCATGCGTGCGGCTCCTGGAGCTCTGCCTCACGTGCTCCATGCGAGGCCGTGACTGCGACGGCGTGCCTGTGCCAGCTCTGCTCTTGCATCTTTAAAAACTCCACAAATGGGCCTTTTATTGGAACACACTCCTCTCGAGTCATACCTGCCACTATCTTTTTGATTTCAGCTGTTCATCCCATTGAGAGGCATACGGAAGAAAGAATAGGAAACCGTAAAACTTCTCTTTTCAGAAAGAAAAAAATTTTAAAAATCAAACAGGTTTAGATAACAGATTATGAGAACTGGAACCAATAAATAAAGGGAGACTAAAACCAGAGACAAAGGAACGTGTGTGAAATTCCTGAAGTGGCTCCTGAACTCCAGAAGCCCCAGCACCACGTGGCACTGCCCGCCAGGCCCGGCGCTCCAAGGCTCTGCCGCATCCCCCGCCCCACGCCCAGGGCTCCCTCTGGCTGGCTGTCCCTGCAGGGCCCGGGGGCCGCTCCTCGGACACTGCTACCAAAAGCAGTGACGCCGCAGGGGGCGCAGCCTGAGCGGGACTTGGCACAGAAGCCCGTTGGTCACCAAAGAAATCACTGGGTGACCGCTGGCCAGGATGGCTGCCACCACCTCTACTGCAGAGGCAGTGCCCAACCAGGTGGGACCACGAGAAGGGGGGGGGCGTCAAAAGCCAACAGCTGGAGTCACCCCAAAATGGGCATGAAGGTCTGGAGGAGGCTTCAGAGCAAGCCTTATTTGCTGGAGACAAAAGGTGTGCCGAGCTTTCATTTGGGGACAGGCGAGGGGTCTTCACGCAGGTGGACACAAATGTCCTGCCAAGCTAAGGGGGCAGACTAGGGTACTGGAGCTGCTGCCAGGGCTGGGTGCTAAGACAGCAGTGACGATCACCCAGCCCTCCCATCCTCGAAATAAGCTACACGTCTGGGTGCACTAACGCCCCCACACCTGGCTGGCTTTAAATACCACACGTGTTAGAAATATTAACATATCTGCTTTGAAATGAAATACAAGTGGTACTGGAAAGCCATGTGACAGAGCAACAGATTCTTTTTTAAGGAGAGAAAAGGAGATAAAAAATGTTCCTAGGGAGGTGCCGGAGAAGAAGCTGTTAGTAGGCAAGGGGGAGCTATTTTAGGTCTCTCCACAGGAGGAAAGTGGAAGGGCAGAGGCTGGGGTGGCCTGGAAAAGCCCCAAGATGATGGGCACCTGAGGTTCCTTCCCTGTCATGGCTCCGGGTCTGGCAGGAAGGCAGATGTCCCCCGGCCCTGGGGGGATGCGGTGGGAAAGCCTTACCCTCCAACTTGCTGCCAGCGTGCTCTCCGACCTGCCCCTCCACGTTCTTCTGCTCTCGCAGCTCTGCCTGCGGCCCGGCACCCACCGGGAGGGGAGCCTTCCCACCTGCACACATGGTGAAGATTCAGGAGGTTTGCAAAACACTCAAACGGAGGCAGAGGAGGGACAAAGGTGGCAGACGCTTCCTAAAATTACCCTCCACTGCCCTCCCTCCCCCGTCAGCACAGTGTATATTCAACCTGATGATTACCAGGGAAGTAATAAAACATATTTAACAATCTCATAGGCAGAGAGCCAGCATTAACTGCCTTTGCCAATTAACATGCAGGAACCATCCTAACCAGCTCTTAGACGGCACTTAACAACGTGGTACCTGTCAAGTGCTCCCGCGCCATCCCCCGCGTGCACCCAGACACGCAGGCACAGCGCAGCACCTGACATTTAGTGGTCTGGCAAACAACTGTGTGACAGATATTACAGTAGCTGTCAAGCCACCAAACTCCTGGTCTTCCCCAACAGCTGCTGCGGGGGCTGCTACATTCACAGGCTAATCTTGAGGGAGAAGAAAGCAAGCAGACAGCAGCAGGGTGATCGGTCCCTCTGGCCCCTCACCCAGCCTGGTCCAACCCCATTCCAGGGATCCCCTCAAGGAGAGGAGAGGGTGCCCAGACAGGTCCAGGCTGACACCCACCAGGCTCGTTCTTCTCCGCCGGCTGGCCCATGGCCCCCGCGGCATGGACTGGCAGGGGGAGACTGTCTGCTCTCTCCCTGGCAACTGCCACCAGGGTATCCTGCTCCTCGGGGGGCACCGCCTGGGGCTGTAAGTGCACACCCCTGTCGCCTGGCCCCAGCTCCTTCTTCACAGGCTCGACAGCTGGCTGGCCGTTTTCTTCTGGAACCTTCTGAGGCTCTTCAGGAAGACCACCTGCTGCCTCCAAGGCCTGGTCCTGTCCAGGTCTCCCTCTCTCTGAATCCGGCAGAGGAGGCTCCCTCTGACCCTTGCCCCCAGGAGCCTTTTCATTCATGTGTTTGGATGGATGTTCCTTCTCTGGTCCTTCTTGGTCTTGACCTTCGTCCACCATGACCTTGTCATGAGGGACGGGGGGTTCGTGGCGGTGGGCCTCACCCATAGGTACCGCAACGCCTGGAAAGAGACAGAAGATGTGTAGGGGAGTGGGCGGGGGAGGATGGCCCAGGGACTGTGAACTGGGTTCTAGTGCCCGACAGTGAAATGGGCCAGCAAGTGCCACCTTTTATAATATGATAGCTGTCTAGCTGAGGACTGATGCTACTTCTAGAAAACTACAAGAGGGCGCGCTGCCAATCAGTTGCTTCAGTCAGGGGCAAAACATCCACCTGAATCAGAGGAAGAAGGCAGAGAGGACCAACACCTGGGTAAGCTCAGGGAAAGCGCCCCAAGGACGCCCCTCCTCGCCCTCTGGCCTCCCGCTGGGCAGCCACCCTACCCTGCCCGGGCCGATCCAGCTGCACTTCCTCCTGCTTCTCCTCGGCGTCTTCCCTCTGGGGCACGTTCACGGGGCCTTTAATCTGGGCCTGCTCCATCTCATCTTTCTCACGTGGCAGCTTCGGCTTCTCTCGGCCATCCCCGGCTACGTCCACAACTGGATTCTGGCCTGTAAGCACAGCACAGCTAACTGAGCAGCCTTTGCACACGGCCACACCGCCAATCAGCACAGGTGCCAGGCAGCTTTCCCTGGATTGTAATCACATTTCCCAGTTGAGTGGCAGAGCCTAAGCAGTTATTTGTTTTCCCTCTTCAATCATTAGCAGCTAAGTAGCACAGAAAACTGTCATTTTTCATGTGTATTCATAACAAAAATATGTCAAAATGCAATTTACACCTAACTGGGCACAGAAGAGCAACACTCCATCACCACCAGAGGGCAGCACGAGCCCGCAGCTTGTCACGGGCTGGGGGCGGCCAACCGGCAAGGCATCTGTGGGGACAACCACCTGCCAAACTCAGCCCCTGCTGCAGACTGGGGGGCGGGGACGGGAAGGCTGATGGCAATTCTGTCGATGTCTTACTGCTGACGGTGGAAATCAGTATTGAAAGGAATCAAGGAAAAGAGTGTCCCTTCCCACTGCCCACCGCCCCACTCCCCCTGCATCCCACAGCCATGCTCTGAGAGGCCCGACAGCTCCCTGCATGGTAGCCGCACGCAGGTCCCAGGTGAGAGGCGCACGAGGAGGGCCCACAGAACCAGGCCCAGCAGAGCATCTTAGGAAACTGTCTCCATTAAACTCTCCTTTCTACGTGTTAGGCTAACGTGGCAGAAACTAAAGAGCTATCTAGAGAAAAAACTCTACAAAACAGTCATTTCATTTCAGAGGCCTGACGCAACCTCTGCTCCCATCTCAGGAAACGACTGGCCAGGAAGGGAGGCTGAAATCTCTGTGGGCGGCAGTGCTGCTGGCTGGCAAGGCCCTGTGCATGGCCCTGCAGCTGGAGGGGCCCGAGTGAGGACATTGAGGGGATTCACTACAGGCCTGCTCAGATGGGGGCCTGCTGCCTCCCCAAGGAGGAAATGCCCCAGGCCGACTTGATGTGCCGGCCTGGGGAGGCACCTCCACACAGGCAGACAGCAGGTAGCTGGTCTGTCCCCTACACAGACGTCCAGGGAAGGGACCCTGCTGGGTGCTGGGGGACTAGTTAGCAGGAAGCACACCCTGGACTGCGCAGTTTAACCAAGTGGCTAATTCAAATAAGCGTGTGGCCATGGCCTGAGCAGGTGAAAATGTTCTGGTCACCGCCACACAATTAACCCTGGCAGAGGCCCCTGCGCTCACCCCAGAACCCCGTAAATCAAGGTGTCTGTCTGGCAGATTAGAGTTCAGAAAGGGGCCAGGAGGGGAGGGAAAAACACGAGAAAAGAAGGAAAGGCTCCGTCTGTCACAGGACCAAGTCGCCCCTGAGCACTCCTGTTTCGGCAGGGAACAAAATTAGTCCACGTCAGGCATGCAGGGAGGGACCACCCTCTGGAAATCATCGTGGGAAGGCATGACTCTCAACTGTTTGCGGGGCCCGGGGCTCCCCGACCCGGCAGGCCACTGGCCCGGCCTCCACCCTTCGCAGCTGTCTGCAGGCAAAGGACACGGTGTTTCCTAAAACGGAACCGAGCTCTTCATCGGGACAGTTGGCCAGCAACGCCTCTTGGCTGCAGTGAAACCAACATAAAACTTCAGAATTAGTAACTGAAAGCCCCATGCCTACTCTGCTTCCGATGGTGACATAGCCTCAGCTTGCGCAAAGACAGGAAACCGCCCTGGGTGGCTGGTGGCTCTCCCGCCAGTGAGAGCCAGGCAACAAGTGGGAGCCGGGCGGCTCTGGCCCCAACTTGTCCTGGGAGGCAAGCAGCAGTTGGGCTCAGGAGCAGCCCACAGAGGGCGTGCCATAGCCAGTTCAAACCCCAGGGGGCTCCCAAAGGGTCCTCCCTGGTCAGCTGCTGGCTGCCCCATGTCGCTCGTCCTCAAGGTCGTCACTTCCAGTTACCGAAAACGATGACTTGCCAGCAATCCCAGGCGAAGGGAACCAGACCCAGGAAAATTCCATGTTGAGGCCTCATTCTGTGGGCGGTGGGAGCTCCCCAACTGCTTGGGCAGTCTGGGATGTCAGCGGCCTCCCTCCACACTCAGAACAGCACTGCATGGTGACAAGGGACACACTTACCCTCCTGACGGTGAGTCAGGCCGGGAGCGCCCTGAGATAGGCCGACAGAGGGCTGCCCATCAGGTGCTCTTTTCCAGCATCCAGTGTGGGCACCAGTCACTCTGTAAGGCTGGCTCAGGGAGAAGGGGCCAGGCGGACTGGACCTATGACTCTGTCTCTGGGGTCCAGGACGCATGGCAGTATGGGGGGTATGACATCTAGAGCCGCCCCTGTCCACTGAGATGAGGAAATCTGCACCCGAGGCTGGTTTCCACTTTGGAAGGCAGGGCCGGGGGCTAGGGCTCCTCCTTGTTGACTCCCCTCTGAAACCACCGTCCCAAGTCTGGGGGTGCACCCTGCTAGTCACAGACATCGACCCACCTCTGAGCATCTTGTGATCAATAAAGATGGAAGAAGTCATCTCCGACTGCCCAGCACCAAATTAAAGTGACTTTTAAAATTACACCTGAGTCCCACAGATGGAGTCCCTGTCAACTGGAAAACAGCCCCAAGTTCAGGAGACGCGCAGGACCCCAGGGCCATGCACTCAGAAGCAAGAGCAGCCAGCCGACATTACTTTAAAAAGCCCGGCCCTGCTTTTGGGTAACTTTCCCAATAACTGATTTCTGCCTTTCCTTCCAAGTGCCTGCCTCCACGCTGTCCTGAGAAAGGATAACTTGCTAAGGGCTCATTTCTGAAACCCACTCTTCTTGACTTAGCTGGCAGGGAAACCTTGACTACCACATTCTCTCATCTTTTCGAAGATGTGGGAGTCTCAACGGCCCCTTGGACCCTAGTGTCCCGGCGGGTGGTGGCCGTGGCACCAGTCTGGCTCCCTCCTCATGGTTCTCCTGCAAACAGGCGCGTCTGCCACGGGCAGGAGGTGGAGGCGGGGGTGCTGTTCCTTGGGGGACCTACGAGGGTGGGCCGAGGTGACTCAGGGCAGGACACAGAAGGCAGCGCCCTCCCTGCCCGAGGGACCCTTCCGAATCTGGCCACGCTGGCGCAGTTATCTGGACAGCGCCAACGAGCTCGCTGCCGCAGCCTCGCACACAGGCAGAGAAGCTGGACAGAAAGCACAAGCAGCGGGAGGGGGCGTGACACGCAGCATGGGGGCTGTTAAAGCCCCTGCTCCCCGGGCACGGGACAGCTGAGGCAGGACCATGCTGCTCCCAGACTAGAGAGAAGGCAGCCATGCGTGGAGCCAGTCTCCCTCACACGCACACTGGCATCTGTCACAGTTCGGATACTTTCCCGCCTGTGTGCACAGGGCTGTGCTGGTGACAGGCAGCAGTCGAGGGAGTCCCTGGGAGAAGCACTGTGATGGAGCAGAGGGAGGGGAAGTGGCGAGCTCCCACTCCGGCCTGTGGTCACCCTCCGCGACCTGAGTGCGAATGCACGGATGCGTAGTTGCTGCCCACAGGCCCTCCTCCTTTCCATGCCACTGAAGGCCTGATCTGCTCTCCTGCCAGGCACCCAGAGGCCCAGCCTGCCCCTTCCTCTTCTCTCTCCCCAAGCAGAAGCACAGCTGTGTCGCTCCCTCTGGGGGGATGAGATGAGTCAGACAACACATGTAGGCCAAGGCTGCTCCCCAACACTGCCAATGGGGTGCAGACGCTGGGAGGAGAAAGGGGACGTGGCTGTAGTCAGAGGGAGCCGAGAGTGTTACGAAGACCGCGCCGCCCTGCCAGACCTCTAGGGCGCTATCAGACAGGAGATAAATGGCCTAATTTGCCTTTTTTTTAAATGGATAATTGCCTTGAGAGCCTCTGCAGGGCTCAGCAACCTCTTCCCTCCACACCTGCTGTGCACCTCACCAGCACGTGCGTGGGCTCCGCATGCGTGGGCTCCGCACTCACAGAGCATGCCAGGCTGTGTGTGCCTGTCACATGTGTCCCCAGGAGGGCAGGACTCCCATTGGCAGTCCCAGGGCCGGTGCAGGGCGCTAAGAAAGTCTGTACCATTTTGGCCTCTGTGACATCAAAGAGACCAATAAAACTATGCTCACAAGCCAACAGGCAGAAGTCGGATGGGGTGCGCACACGGCAAAGGTCCCTATGGACCCAGCTCTGCTTCAACGAGGCAACCCATCAATTACAGGGGAGGCCAGGGGTGAGAAAAATGGAGAAGGCGCTACAAACAAACGGCATGTGGTTCCGAGAGGGGCCATGTGTTTTGTTACAGCCTCGTGGAAGAAATGGAAACCAGATGTGGCCGCGGCGGGCTCCAGGTGAGCCAGCGGCCCGCGGCCCGCCTCCATGACAGGATGCAGCTGCTCCCGCCGGCCGTGGGCTGGAGGCCGCGCAGCAACATGGGGACAAGCAGCTTGGTGCTGCCTTAATGCTGAGAAATCCACTACCGGGCAGGTCTGCAGCCGGCTGAGACAGAGAACACCAGTGCCCAAGTCCACTTCTGTCCCCATAGTACACAGGGCCAAGGAACCCAGCAGGTGTCAAGAGGGGTGAGCGTATGACGTCCACCTCCCTCTTCAAGTGGATTTTTCCCGTCCAAGTTACCAAATCTGTGAAACTCGGCTTGGATGCCCAGGCAGCTTCTGGCCACTCCAACTTTCTCTGCTGAACCCCACTATTCCCAGGGGCCCTCTCTGCAAGGAACCTGCAAAGGGGGAATCTTCTCGCCAGCCCTCGCCATCCTAGGAAGGCACACGAGCGCACGCCCCAATACTCCGGGCTCAGGGACCCCCAAGAAGAGAGCCCAGAGAGACTGCTCTCTGCAGGGGAGTTTGTGTGGGATGCTGACTCCAGCCGGGGCTCTCCAAGCACAGGGAGGAAAAACCGGAAGAGACGGGAACAAATCCGAGGGCCACGTGCCTCCAACTGCTGGCAGGCTCGCCGGCACCAGCAAGCACGCGGAGCACGTTCACCTCTCTTGCCAGCCGTTCGGGACCCTTCCCCTGTCAGTCACGGTAGGTGGGGAGCCCAGGCTCCTACCAGGGCAGGCACTCCTTAGCCATCACCGCCAAAGGCACCTGAAATCCACCAGCAAACGGCACTGCTTCCCTACGGGGCCTCCCCCCAGAGGCATGCTGGGCGGGCAGCGTGGCCAATCTCAATCCAAGCCAGGGGTCTCTCTGCAGGGGAGGTGAGCCAGACACTCAAGTACGCACCATTCATGTGAATGCATAAAAACCAACCAGTGTCAGGGCAGAAGCCCCCAGAATGAATGTTACCGCAGACACCACCTGAGCCTGATGCGGCCGGGCAACAAGGGGCCAGCGTGGAGGTAGCCGTCCCTGCGCCTCCCTCCCATCTCTGCCTGGGGGGGGCCAAAGGCTTCAAGAAGCCTCTTTTCTCTCAGCTCCCCAAGCACCAACCACCCCCAGACACAATGGAGTCCCTACTGTACTCTGGAAAGCCACGCTTGGAAACCATGCACCCCCGCACCCCCACGAGTGCACCCACAGGTGGGTGTCAGGGCCACAGCACAGGCGGGGCCTTCTGGGGTGGGCCTGCAGCTGCAGGAGGGAGTGTGGGCCGTCACTCTAGCAAGGGCAAGTGACAACACCGTGACACAGTACAGCAAGCCAAGGGGGCATCACTGACTTTGTCCACATGAAACCTGGCTCGAAATTTACACCCTTAAAACGAAACAAATGTGAGCAACAGCCACAAATTTACTTACCTCTTAGTGCACTGAATGGTGGGCAGTGAGACCCAAGCCCTGCTGTCCACCATCCATTGTCTGTCCCCTGCACTCAGGCGGCCGCCCACTACTAGCCCCCTGAATGTCCCCTGCCCCCGCCCTCCATCACCCTACAGGACGGAGGCAGCTGGCAGGTGAGACAGCCTGCGTCTCATAACCCTGAGGTGATGCTGCCTGGGCAGCCATGTGTGTACCTGAGAGTCACCTACCTGGGAGCCGGGCCACCTCCACCTTCATGGCACCCTCGGCCTCTCCAAGCGGGTTGCCAGGGGCTTCCTTTGCCAAGTCCATGGGGGTCTCCTCATTCACGGACAGGGTGATGTATGTGCTGACCACCAGGATGCCCACACCGACCCACAGCACCACCTGGAGGAGGAAAAGACCCAGGAGCAAAAGAGGTCACATATTCCCCCTCCCCAACCCTTCCCAGGGCAGGTGGGAGGTGTGGGGGTATGCAGCCCCCTCTGTGAGCGCAATGGGAGGGACTGGGGGCACAGTGCGCGCAGGCCATGATCCTATCTGCCAACCAGCGCCCCTGACCACTAGGAGATGAAGGTGCTGCACTGATTAATGTGACAGCATCATTGGCCAAACCTGCTGGAGCTGCACTGGTGATGTGGGGAGGGGCTGGCGGGGGGGTTGCACCAGGGGAGCCTGAAGGAAGCTGGGGCGTTGTGCATGAACAGAGGGGCCTGCTCGCTGGCAGAGCACAGTGACCAGGCCTGCTGGAGAGGCCAGGCCTGCTGGAGAGCCTGGCGCTGGACACGCCTGCACTCACGGCTACAGAGACTGGGCCCCTTGACAGCTTTGCCCAGAGGAGCAAGAATCTCAGGGCAACTGTCCAGCTTGAAGGTGGGCCCTTGCATGTCCCACCCCCTCCCCCAGTGGCCATGTAGACGGAAGGCCCAGACCACTGGGTGCCTGGCTCCTCACAGCCCAAGTATGAACAATCTGTCCCCCAAAGTCACCTAGCAGGCCCAGACGGGGACACAGCCGTGGAGGAGGCGGCTCCTTGCCCGCTTTAGCTGGGGGTGTCCACTGGTGCTGCCCAGTAAGCTGCACTGGAGGCATGCCTGAGAGTCAAGGGGCCTCGTCCCCGTCCCTCCTTTGAGGGACCCCACAGCTGATCCTAAATGCTGCCCTCAGTAATTCAGTACAGCAACCCCACATTATATAACTGTCTCCCCCTGCAGCTCCTGCTATTTTAAGACGTGCACATGCTGGACCAGTGCTCTCTGTGCCATTCATGCCACCACAGCAGTGGATGCTGCTATTTCTGCCCTGCCCGGGCCCAGCCCACCCGGCTCTCCCCAGGGGGCAGTAACTCCTGGTTCTGCAGAGTTCTGCAGGAGAGGAGCCCGTGAGGCGGCCTGCCGGAGAGCCAGGGAGACCCCGCCACCCTCCTCCGCCCAGGCTCAGAGCCAGAACTCAGAACCCTTTTCTGAAAGGCATGTTGACTCTAAAAATATCAGATCAAAGGAACCAGTGAGACTTTCCTAGGTCCAACACAATTAGAGAAGAGAGATTTCCACAGGAAGAAAGGACCCGTACTCCTGAAGGGGATGCTGACAGCTAGGAAAAAACCTCAGGGAAAAAGTCCATTTTCTTCACTGCCACTCCAGGAACACTGAGCTGGGTCAGTGCTCATGGACACAAAGTGTTAGCCATGCTCCTGGGGTCAGCCATGGTGCAGGAGGCCTGGCCATGGTGTCGCAAGGGGCCCTCTGGTAGTGACCCCTAGCCAGCACAGTCAGGTGCTGGCGGCCGCCTGAGGTGCGTGCAGGGATGCAGTGGGATTTGTGCCTCTGGTCGGAACAGCATCTGCAGACTCCACAATACACAGCTCAGGGCAGAGCTCCTGAGCCCCGCCCTTCGCCCCAATTATTTTCTTAAAAGTGTGTGGCTGCTCAGCTTCAGCTGTGTGCCCACAGATCAGCATATCACATCTTCTTACCATGAAGGGAAAATTTGTGGAGCAATGATGGTGTCCGAATATGACCAAAGTAGTTTTAAAAAATTAAGAAAGAAAGAAACTTTAAATCTCTCTCATTTCATATTTTTCCAGGCAATGGCAGAAATGACGTCGCTGAGAAATAACAACAAAAAATTCACGTCCCAACTTGGACTCCTGCAGCCCTGAGAGGGTAATCGCCACACCTGAGCGAGAGCCCTGAAATACTGAAATGGGAAAAAGAGCGACTCCACCCACTACCACCAGCCAGTCGGGAGGAAGACAGTTCCAGAATGACACCGAGAACAGCACTTGGGGGGAATTCTGTGAGCCTGGGGTTCCCCACGCCCCGGGGCAGCAACAAAACCCCATTCACCTCCAGGCCTTGGTTTGAGCCGTGCTAAAATGGTCTTGACACAAAGATGAAGACATTTGACTGGTCACTGTACGTCAGGTATTTTTACGAGGACATCAATGAACATTTCCATGGGAGACTGACAAGCCAAAGGCAACATTTCATCCAAGACTTCGAAAGATTTATTTCAACACGCAACTTCCTGGGCTTAATGAAAAAAATCAAATGCAAAATAAAAAACATTAACTCTGTCAATGCTGAGAGATAGCGAGCTTCCTGAGAAAGATCAAGAAAACCTCAGCTTAAGGTCGATTTAAGAAGAAGGGCCTGCATGGAGCCAGGAGTTCCAGAAAATGAACCCAGCTCCATGTGGCACTGCACATACCTGCCACTGCCACCTGCCTGAGATATCCCATGTCCCCACTTGCAGAGCATGTCCTTCGTCTCCCCAATCTGGTGGCAGTCGCCACCCTCTCTCTTTGCCAAGACCCCACTCGTCTCCTGACACACCTGGCTTGCAAGCCACCCCTGGGCTGTGCGGGGCACTTGCCAGCTGACCGCTGTCCATAGCGTGAGCAGCCTGCTGGCCCAGCCAGAGCCTTTGTCACGGGGCACATATCCCAGCTCTCCACTCTCACCCTTTCCTTTGAAGAAACACCACGGGCCCACGAAAACACCCAGGCAGAGAAGCCAGAGACGCCCAGCTTGAGGGGAACCATGGCATTAACGCCACAGGCATCAGTGAGGACACGTGGGGTTGTGCCTGACACGGAGCGAGTCTCAGTCCCCAGGGTGAAGCTCATGCAGTGACCAGACTGCAGTCTGCAGGTGGCAAGTGCTGGAAGGCAAGAGTCAGCCAGAGCCAGGCGGGAACAGACCCACGTGGCAGCATGTGGCGCCCCAGGGGGGCCGGGCATGTGGAAAGGGCACAGGTGTCGCCCAAGTCCCCTGAGGCACTGACTGCAGACCTGTCCCACAGACACAAGGCTTCTATGAGGCCCCAGGATGAGTGAGCGGCCAGAGCTCCTGGGTTCCTGCTTGGCCACTGAGGTTGGGAAGCTGACTGCTGAACGTAGGCAAAGAGGAGTGGTCGCTGGTTCTCCCAAAGTCCCCAGTGAGGAGAGACACAGCCCCTGTACGGGTCGGCAGCGGTGGATGGACCAGGAACTCAGGTGGAGCCAGTGTGGGGAGCAGGGGCTGCCACGGCCCTGTCGGGTCCCCCTCTGGGGCCCGAGCCTGGCCCCTCAGCACGCACCTTCCGGGTACAACTTTCTGCGAGTCCAGAGGGCTGCTCCGACCCGGCAAAAGGGAGATAAACGTGCCCCATGTGCCGGACATCCGCCTTCACGGAGCCCTGATGACGCTGAGTCCTCCCAGCCCAGGCAGGGCCAGCCAGGAGGAGACGTGCAAATACACCCTGACATCTTAGCCCAGGCTTGGAAAACCAGGGGCTCGGCCTGGGGCCCACGCACAACCTGGCATCCCAGAGTACCCCTGAACAGTGACCCGTAGCCTCCATCTCTGCTCAGGGTCCCCAACTCAAGAGCAGAGAGAAGCAGCCAGGGGTGAGGAGCACACGTTCGCTGTCCCTCCTGACACCTCCAGGTGTCTGCAGACCCGCAGGCTCACGTGCTGCAGCTCAGTACCGAGACAGGTCAGCCTGTAGGCAGGGCTGCTGCCCTGCAGCCACACGCCCCAATTACGGTCTCCAGGCCGGCGTGGTCAGTGTCAGGCAGGCACCCAGCCAGCACGTGGACTCCAGCTGAGGGTCTTGGGGGTCATGCTCTGCTTCAGATCAGATGGCCAACCCGTGGGGGCTCATTTCTCTGCGAGTCGCGGTGCACGTTTACTTACTGACATCTTCTCAGGAGCAAAGGGTTGGCCTTCGGACGCCCACCCCAGGCGCTGCTACTCTCTCGCTCCTTGCCCCAGGAGTGGTCCTCCTTGCCCTGGAGAACAGCTGCATGGAGGCCTGGTGCAGGCTGGGCTGTGAACACTTCCTCCTGGCTCTGGGCTCCCACCCGCCCCTCCTTGGCAATCTTCTTGGTAGCCTGTCAGAACCTCCTGCTCCCTCTGCTGGCTTCCAGGCAACAGCGCATCAATTCCAGAAGCATCAATTCCAGACAATGGAACCCAAGCTCCTCTGTGTCAGTCAGGACTAGAGAGACCCTCTGATTTCTCCAATTTTCAAGTTACAGGGTGAACCACACAATGGCGGATAAGGGCCAACTGTGTTCTCACAGTTCCAGCATATTCTTCCGAGGACGTTTCCCAGAAGGTCCATGCTCCCCACCTTTCTTGGCTCCTCTGGAGGTCCGTGGGGGGGAACAGGCCCCGCAGCGCCCAGGAGAGCTCAGGCAAGCTGGGCGAGCCAACTCGGCTTCACGCCAGGTCTGTGCCTTCCTCAGGAGCGGCAGCCAGAGCTCCCAGGATGGGGCGGGGGGAGAACGGGGGACAGGTACCCTGCCACATCCCAAGCAGATGCCCTTAGGCCCCAGGCCTGGCATGCCAAACTCCTGCCACATTTCTGAGTGTGTTCCTCAGAAGACTCGTCTTTGGAAATAAAACACGGCAGCACGTACCAACACTACACCACAGTCTATGGTCCAGAACTGACTCACAATGTAGCTCACCAGGACACTGACTCAGAGGGAGAAGCTTTAGCATCTTCTCCACACAGGCTCAAAAAGTAGTTAATAAAATTCAACAAGCTCTGTAGATTTTAAAAACCACAGTAAAACTGGCAGAGAGTGCTTCCTTAACACGATTCCGCGTGCGTTTATGTCTACGTACACACCAAGGCGTGAGAAAAAGCCAGCATTAAACAGTTAAACACTAGAAGCTGTTCCAATTGAGGCAGGAAGACGACAAGCTGGGCCCTCACATCACCAACGCCACGGCCAGGGCTGCGAGACAACACACAGACGAGAGAAAGAAAAGTCGTAACAAAGGAAAAGAAGAGTGAAATTATCAAGAGATTCTGTGACAGTCCAGTAAGGTAAAGGGCTAAAAAGTTAATATATGAAAATCTGTAGCCTTCCTATATACAAACAACAAGCA